AAGTTGTTCGAAGTGCTCAAACCAACGTTTCAGCTGGTCAGTGGGGTCGGTAAGCAATTGTCCAGTCGTGTCCTTCACTGGCATCCTCGGGTTCATCCTTGCTCCACTCAGGCGTCGTGAGATATCGTAGAGGAGGCGTATATCGCCAGTGTTTGCGGCTTTCTCCCCTTCGTCGGCCAGGGAGTTCACCCACGCTCGCTTGTCCCGTCTGCAAGAGCGCTTGACTTCCTTCTCTAGAGCCGAGTACCGTTGACGGGCTTCGTTCTTGGCTCCTCTGGTTCTCGCCCGCTCTATTGCGGCTTTTGCTTCTCTACGCCCCTCAATCTTCCACCAGGTTTTATCTGTGATCCACTCTTTCCTCTGAGTGCGCAGCTCACCCAAGTTGTTCTCGCTTGTTTCTATAAAGGCATTCTTGATGGCCGTCCATTGTTCTTCTACGCTGCCACCTTCTGGAACGTCCGCAGCTCGAGTCTCAAGTTCTTCATCAAAAGACCTTTTTACCGCTGGATCTCCAAGTCGGCGTGTGTTGAACCGCCGCCCGAGTCTCTCCTCCCGTCGCTGGATCCGCGCCATGCGTAGGCGGATTTCACCGATTAGAAGGTGGTGGTCGGACGCGATGTCGGCGCTGCGTTTATTCCGGACATCAAGAAGGCTCCGTCTCCATTTTCGGCTGATGCAGATGTGGTCGATCTGATTTTCGGTATGTCCATCACGGGAAACCCACGTGACTTTGTGCACTGGCCGATGGGGGAAGAGCGAGCCCCCGATCACCATGTCGTTATTGCCACAAAATTCTGTAAACAGCTCACCGTTCTCGCTCATTTCGTGTTGTTGGACCCGATCTTCGCATTGAAGTCGCCAGTGTAGATCTTGATGTCACCCTTTGGAACCTTATCAACGACGGCATTCAGTTGACTGTAAAAATTCTCCTTGTCCTGTAGCTCGGCAGTATCGGTTGGCGCATAACATTGGATTATGGTAAGGTTACGAACCCGTGTTCTAAATCTGGCAACGATTATCCTCTCATTAACAAGCTCCCACTTGATGAGCGCAGGACTCGCCTGGACGCTAAGTAGGAGACCAACTCCACGATGGCGGGGAGCGTTTTCACCTCGAATACCAGAGTATAGTAGTACCTGTCCCGACGGCAGTTTGTGTTCTCCAAAGTTTGGCCAACGAACTTCACTCAGTCCCAGGATTTCTAGCTTCATGCGTAGCGCCTCGTTGGCGAGTTGTGCCAGTTTACCCTACATTCCATGATCCAATTCGTGTCCGTTGTTTTGCGCTAAAAGTCGTTGCCGTTATATCAGTTCGATGTCTTTCTCTGTTGGTTGTGGCTGTAAAGTGGGTGGTTTATTCTTGAAAAACGTACCGATACTGCTGATGATGATCTATGTGCTTTACCTATAGGTGAGGCAGTGCTTCAGCACCGGCAATAAAGTTGTGACGTCACAATCACGATTTTGCCAATGTTGGCAATGTTGTGTCGTCACCACTTTTCATCTCCGAAAATGTTTCGTAGTATTGCTCTCAAACACAAACAAACACTATCATGTATCACTTCTGTATGTATATCTCATTGGATGATGATGACTGATGTTGAAGATGGACGGCTTCGACGACGTTGGGCGAGCGCTCACTGGACTCACTGTGCTACGAGTTCTGAGAGATTCGCTGTGGCGATCGTGGTCAAAGTTGGCTGAGTGGCGGTGTGAGGAAGTGGTTTTGTTGGCGCGTAAAACCACTATAGGTTCTCCCAGGCGTCTTCCCTCAAAGACTTACATTGGCAGAGCCCAGGCAAGGCCGAAGTGACGCTACCGAGAGAGGAACGTCTCCTTGGCGATTAGGGAGGGCTTCCGAGACTATTCCCTTCCAGTCGATTATTTTTGGTCTGGCTTGAGTTCCTTTCCTTTTAGACCTAGCGGCCCCTAGGGACTGCTAAGCCGGATCACGATCGGTTGATCTTGTCAACGGACAAAACGGCGGTGTGTACCAAACGATAATACAAAAGGTCCTGTGAGGGTATCGAATGGAAGTTAGTTCAGTCGTTAGCTTTAGTTTGGGCAGAGAACTATTTACCTGAATTGAGCTGTGGTGCAGCAAATCGTCACACTCGAATACACTGGAGTCGCTTTTTACGCGGTTTTTTTTTACACGGTTTTTTTTTACGCGGTTTTTTTTTACGCGGATTTCGGAATTTACGCGGTTTTTTTTTACGCGGATTCCGGAATTTACGCGGTTTTTTTTTACGCGGGACGTATCACCCGCGTAAAAAGCGACTCCAGTGTATTACTACTAACTACTGGCTATTTCAAGCACTTTAACTGTTCAACACCTTTCACACGCAAACGCTTGGATAGTAATGAGGAATGGCGGGTCGTTCGTGGGTTATCTGACCTCTGTCCCTTCGCTTTTCCATCCCTCCATCCTATGTCCTAATCCAAAAAAAATCCTTTCTCCATTTTCCCGCCTGCATCTCCTTGTAGTAGTTGCACCCACTGTACCCTATCAGATTCCAATAAAACATTGTGAGTGTAATCAATTCTGTCTACTTAAGCAACTTTGCATACCTATTTACTAACAAAATTGTTGTCCAAGGTTGATTTGTAAAGAATTATGAGAGCTTCAAAAGAAAATGTCGAAACATAAAAAACTACCTTATTACGTTGTTTCTCCTTTTAATTCTACTACTTATTTCTCATTTATTTACTATCGACCATTTAACATGTAAAGTCATTTGGGTCGTTGGAAAAGTAATTACAATTTGAACTAAAAAATAAAACTATTATTAGTATCTAAGGTTTGCACTGACATTGATTAGGTATTTATTAGTTTGTGGTCATTCATTCATTTGCTATTCATTTTCACTATTTATTTTCACAATCACCTAAAAAACTATAATATTTAGATACGAATTTCGTTTACTACTTGCAAACGTATCTGTTATAGTTTTTTAAAGTGATAGTGAAAGTAAATTGTGAAAGTGAAAGTGATACAATAGTAGTAGAATCAAAAGGAAAAAAAAAGCGTAATAAGGCATCTAACTGTTCGCTACGATAACCCCCCTATTGATGTACATGAGCTCGACTTTCGTAGAGCAGATTTCGTCGCGCTGAGTCACTCGCTTGTCCAGGTAGATTAGCAGTTCCTTGACACATGTTCATCTATTGATGAAGCCGTCAACTACTTCACTGAGATTTAACGGGCAATAACTGATTCTGTCCCACTGAGGAGACCCTCTCCCATGGTCCAATGCTCGACTACGGAATTTGAAGCGTCTGAGATCGAAGGCCCTCCGTAAATACTGTCGTACTCGTAACCCATTCACCAAACGATTATTTTCAACAGCGAGCAACGAATATCGCACATATAACCGTATTCTTTACAAGAGCTACACAAGACGTGTACAGGCTAATTTACGGCTTAATCCAAAGCATGGTCATTCATGAATACCAAACGAAACGAGGAGGGGCTACCAGTCGAAATTCACCTGGGTGATAGAATCGCCAGCAATTCCCTTGATAAATGTAATCTTCTGGCAGAACATTTCAAAAGCATTTTCAATGACACTACGGCTTCGTTGTCCCAAGTTGCTGAAGCGGTGAGGGACACTCCCAGTGATGCTTTCAATTTTTCGGTTACCTCGGTTACAGTAGACCTCGTTTCCACCATCAAGAAGCTGAAATTTTCTAATGCTGCTGGCCCTGACGGGATCCCCTCAACCATCCTGAAGCGATGCTGTTCAGAGCTTACAACACCGCTTTCGAAGCTGTTCAATATTTTATTACAGCAGGGGGAGTTCCCTACGCGTTGGAAATCGTCATTCATGTTCGCGATCTACAAGAAAGGAGACAAGAGAAACGTCGAAAATTACCGAGGGATCACATCAGTCAGTGCCTGCTTTAAAGTTTTCGAAATCATCATCAACGAAGCATTATTCTCTAGCTGCAGAAATTACATTTCTCCTGACCAACACGGTTTTTATCCCAAGAGATCAGTTTCAACAAATCTAGCTCCGTTCATTTCTTTATGTCTTCGGAGTATGGAAGCTGGAGCGCAGGCAGACGTTGTATATACAAATCTTAAGGCTGCATTCGACCGGGTTGACCACTCCATACTGCTAGCTAAACTTGAAAAACTCGGTGTATCCTAGGGTTTAACTCGTTGGTTCAAGTCCTATCTGACCAATCGGGAACTTTGTGTTAGAGTCGGATCAGAGCAATCAGCTCCGATGTTCCTCAAGGTAGCAACTTGGGACAATTGCTGTTCTCGATTTTTGTGAATGAGGCCGGACTGATCCTCCCAACTGGTTGCCGATCGTTCTACGCGGATGATGTTAAGATCTATGTGATTGTTCGTAGCTTCGCCGATTGCTTGCGGCTTCAGCACCTAATCGATACTCTCGAAGAGTGGTGCCCAAGAAACTATTCGTGACCTAGGAATCACGCTGGACTGCGCCTTAACATTCAAGCTTCATTACTCGGGCATCGTTGCGAAAGCTAACAAGCAACTCGGGTTCATTTTCAAGATCGCTAACGAGTTTCGCGATCCTGCCTGTCTAAAAGCTCTATACTGCTCTCTAGTGCGATCGATCTTGGAATTCAGCTCGGTAGTATGGTGCCCGTATCAAGCAGTTTGGATAGCGAGGATTGAATCTGTTCAAAGGAAATTTGTTCGGTATGCCTTTCGTCAACTTCCTTGGAATGACCCTGTGAACCTTCCGCCGAACGAAGATCGTTGTCAGCTCCTTGGTCTTGAAACACTAGAACATCGGCGGACGATTAGTCAAGCCGTGTTCGCAGCGGAAGTACTTATTGGTGACATCGACTCTCCAGGAATCTTGGCTGAATTCGAAATCTACGCACCCGAACGAGTTCTTCGGTCGAGGAGTTTCCTGCATCTTGGACCTCGTGCTGCGAACTACAGCTTGCATGACCCAATATGGTTCATGTCTGGGCGTTTCAACGAGTTTTACGAGTTTTTCGACTTAAACTGTGTAGCGGAAACCTTTCGTCACCGTATTCAACGCAGACTCCTGAGAAGGACGAGGACTTCTACCTGATTCACGGACAACTCTATGCCATATGAGGATAACTTTAGCATACTACTATAGCATGCTTGATTAATGTTCGTTGTAATTGTATTGTATTATTGTGATTCATGTATTTCGAAAAGATATGGGGTTTTTACACCTTTCTAGGCTTTTCCCCATCAGGCTTCATTTAGACACGTTAAGTCCGATGAAGGAAAATAATTTAAATAAATAAATAAATAAAACGCTCATCAATCAATTTAGATAAAAAAATATATTTTTTTTTTCCTTTGGTTTGTTTTTTTCCGTCGATCTTGTTTTCCGTGCTGAGCACCAATGCTACCGACGTGCCAGGAAGGCAGCTCCCACACCTGGACCCTACCTATCGACCCATCAACTCATGAACCGGGGACCAACGGCTTTACTTCCCATCCGAAGGAAGGCGTGATCAGAGATGTTATGCCTCAGAACATCCCGGCGGCGCCGACTGGGATTGAACCCAGGCCTGCTGGGGTGAGAGGTAATCACGCTTACCAAAAAAAAAATATATATATATATATATACATATATATAATTAATACACTGGAAAAAATATTCAAAAAATTTTGAAATGATTTTTCTCAAAAACGAGATTTTTTTAATTTATGTAAAAGTGTGTAAAAATATAGATTAATTATATGTAAGTCTTTCACTATTACAAGAAAAACAATATTCTAACAAATACTTTTTTGTGTTTGCACTTAATGAAGTTAGTTAGCTGAGTAAGCTAGTTAGTTTCAGCACCTGGCTGGATCCTCTCTTTGGGAAAATAGGGTGGGAGCTCCTGAAGGGAATTTAGCAAGGCAAAATTTATTGGCGAATAAACCACGGATGAGGTTTGAGTTTAATAGGTTTTCCGAACACCGGTTGTTCTAACTCATTTGTTTATATTTTATTTTTTTCGAGAAAATGGTATTCAGAAGACTTCCAACGCGTATAATTGCGCATATTTTTGCTGAATAAAGTTTGATGACCATGAACATTGATATTGTAAAGTTATTAGTGTTTCATACCCAAAAAACATATGATCTTCAAATGTTAAAATTTAAGGCAGTAGACAGACATTGTTTTCATGAGATGACATCAGGAAATTCACACAATTATGGTGATGATAAAACCTGAAATGTTGCTTGGATAATGTTGATGAAAGCTCATTAAGGCAATAAATTTATAATTAAATAATATTAAACTTTGTAACACCATCCATGGGAAGCATATGGAATGACTTGCATTCCTTTTTCTTAACCCGAAATTCCAGCACACCGATATGGCTAGCAACGTAGCAACCATCGTATTCGTAACCCATCGTCGCCGTCGTTCCATTTAAGGCGGTTTATGAAGCGGAATAAGCGGCGGTTGCAATTTTGGGGGCTTTTATGCATACCGCATTCCGCCAGGGTGCGGTCGCGTCGCGTCAGTAAAACTGCAACTGACAGTTTGGCAGCATGCTTGCACTCAACTCAATCGAAAGCAGAAACCCAGAACCGCACAAAAAGTGAAATGATTGAACGTGTGTCAGTCGGTCCGGTTGGTGGGTTGTGTGGCCAAAAGGGCTTCGTCCGTTTGAGTGTCGAGACGAGAACAGGCAACGCAAGAGGCTTGGGCTTGCGGGCGGGGTAAGAAATGTAAGCTGGTATGGTGTTAATGAAGAATGAAAATTTCCACAAATGGTAAAAACCGATCAATTTGCAATATGTTTCTTGTTCGAAGTGATTGACGGTGTAGTTTAAGCGATAATGGATTTAGTATATGCTTGTTTGTCAGAAGCAAACAGCCACTGAGAGGTACTGCAGTTCAATACATACGTTGCGATTGCGTATTGTGGTTTTTTTTTATATGATGAAAGTGAAGTTAATAGGTTGATTTACAACCAAAATTGTTTTTTATTTCAATAATAGGTAATGCCAATGGTAATATACAATATTGAAGACCAATTCTTGATAGAGCTGGAATTAGGGCGCAACAGCTTTTGTAAATAATGACTTCTGTAGATGATTTCTCGAAGCTCAAGGCACACCCACGCAAACTAACATAGCCAACGGGAAGGGGAAGTCTTCCCCTACCCGATGGCGACGTTGATTTGAGTGAGCGAGTCTTGGCTTTCTAGAAATCATCGAGAGAAGTCATTGTTTACAAAAGCTGTTTCGCCCTAATTCCAGCTCTATCTAGAATTATCCTCTCGTCATATCATCTCCCAATGTACATTGATGCTGCAACCCAACTGTGCTTTTGCTTCTTATCGTTCCATCGGGATTCCAATCGCAGATGATTCTCATGAAAGAAGTGAAAAATTGTTGAATGAAAATTGGTTTGCCATCAGTTCCGCTTTGTTCAACTCCGTTTTTCTCATCCTTGGCATTCACGGGAGAAGCAATATTGTGTTTTACTCTTCTTGACGGGACAAAGTTTGATTATTGTGAGCTATGTGAGCAAACTCATAGTCGATGATTGTCCACGGTAAATTGGTTGTCATCATGGTAGAAAATTGTTTTGCAGCTTCAGAGAGGTGAAGTTTAAATAGCATTTCCAACTTTTCACCAAGATACAGTTCTAACTTTTGATGAGCAAAGTCTGCCATTCTAGAATCTGGAAAAGGTGGAAACATTTGAACAGAAACTATAAAGTTCAAAAATAGCCAGCTGACAAAACCAGTTTAAACCACACGAGCGGAAAATCTACGAAATCGGTAACAGTTAGTAGCTAAATGGCCCATACATGGCTAAAAGCAAACATCCAACATTCAATGGGTCATTCTGCCTGCCAGTGACAGAGAGTGGGTGTTTTGCGAACTCCTCGTTTCTCACACGCACACAAATATTAATTATTCGCACGGTCTGGTTTGAGGATGCCACTGATTATGGCACCAAAAGAGGCGCGAGTGATTAATCGATGTCGATTAATTTTGTCGCCGCCTACATCTTCATATTTTTGCCTGCATGCTTTATGGATTCAGCAAGAGATGACTTTGCCTTTGTGTCTCCCTACTCATCTACCCGCTTCACAATTTGACCAAATTAGGTGATTAGAAAACGAGGCCGGTCTTTAATTGCTGATCGCTGATGTTGAGTAGTATAGGCCACGTGTATTTTATGTCTTTAATTATTACGTGTGGATTAATTAGTTTTTAAGAGATATAATCGGTATCACAAATAACATTACATTTCTACTATGTCGGTGTATAAGAGTCTCACAAAGAGCAAAATAGTAGACATCACAGCCAGGCATGGAAAATCATTTACATTCATTTACATTCATTTGCCTCTAACTTTTTTCATCAACAGCATTCCGCAAAATGATGTACATAGAGCTTTAGTAGGTTTTGTTATTAGCTTCAACTGTTGCCCTTAACTCAAATCTGTATCTCTTATGCATCACGAATTAGAGTGGGCAGAACTTGTTACTGTTTTTCAGTGAATGTAAAATACATTCATTGAAAAACAGTAGTGGCTTCTGTTCGCTCTGGTTTGTCCTGCATAAGAGATACGGATTTGAATTGTTAAAAAAATAACAAATGTTAATAACAAAACCTACAAAGGCTCCATACATTATTTTACGTAATTCTGTTGATGAAAAAAGTTAGAAGCAAATGAATGTAAATGAATGCACGAAATGAATGTAAATGATTTTCCATGCCTGTTCACAGCATAATTTTCAAAAGCTTTCCTACCCCTTCGCTTAGCAAATGAGCACTTCTGCGTTAACTTCAAATTACTTCCAGCGGAAGCGCAATTTAGCGTCCAGTGAATTACAATAAGGTACACCGGGGGAAGTGGGACTTGGGAGGTAATTGGGATCATTGGCCAGGCTGAGATACTATCTCCTACTTTTGAATAGAAATGATTATGTTCATTATCTCTTTAAACCTTGTTTTTGATGTTGGGCTACGTCTGTGATATGGGGGTACACTTTGTGAAAACCAAAAATGGAACATGTAACGAAACTATGAAAGATTTTGAACGTTAATAACCCAGCTGCCCCTGGACCAATTTCAATATTATTTTATCACCAATAGATCAAAAATATTTCTACGCTCGCTAGCACAGTTGATTTTCAACATATCAACGAGGGATTCAGAGGAAACTCAAGTCGCACCCGAAGTCATTCTGGAATTACGTAAATGAGCAGCGCAAGGAATCCGGCCTACCTTCTTCAATGGTGTTGAATGGAGCAGTTGCTTCCACTCCTCAGCAGATCTGTCGCTTGTTTTCTGAGAAGTTCGCCAGTGTTTTCACGAATGAGAGATTAACTGACGAACACGTTGCCCTAGCAGCTAGTAATGTTCCACTGTACGGTCAAACACTGGGTGCGATGGATGTCAACGTCGAGATGATTTCCACTGCCGCATCACAACTCAAGTCGTCCTTCAATCCAGGACCCGATGGCGTTCCATCCGTATTCCTGAAAAAGCATATCGCCAGCTTGCTGATGCCCATGCTTCACCTATTTCGATTGTCCATCTCGAGTGGTACATTTCCATCTTGTTGGAAATTCGCACATATGTTTCCTATCGTTGAGTGCAGTTTCGAAGTTATTCGAGTTAGTTATCATGGAGCCTCTACTGTCTCATTGTAAGCAGTATCTAAGTGGTGATCAACACGGCTTCACTTTCGGTCGTTCTACTTCCACAAATCTGCTGTGTTTGACATCGTATCTTACGGAAAGCATGGCAGAGAGGACTCAAACAGACGTCATATACACCGACTTGTCAGCTGCCTTCGATAAGCTAAACCATGCCATCGCGATTGCCAAGTTGCATAGACTTGGGGTCAGCGGCAACCTCTTGCAATGGTTTCGTTCATATCTCACTGATCGGCAACTGATGGTTGCCATTGGTGACAACCGGTCCAATATCTATCTAGCTACGTCAGGAATACCTCAAGGAAGTCACCTGGGACCTTTGATTTTCTTACTCTACTTCAATGACGTGAACTTGATCATCGAAGGCCCACGACTATCGTATGCAGACAATCTTAAAATCTACCTACGAATCCGCTCGATTGATGACTGTCACTTCCTT